TGACGAGCTGCCTGCACGGCCATCGCTCCATGGGTGCAACCCCGCTGCTCCGCGCGGCCGGCATGCCCCTGACCTCTTCTCCGTTAGAAACTTATGTTACTGCTGACCGATGCCTTCTCAGGTATCTTCTATATCTTGCAAATGCGTCCCTTTATGTTTCTGGGTTTTCTAGAAACCCATGTAATGTTGTCGTCCATATTTGCAGAAGTGAGTCCGTGTTGCCTAACAGTTCGAGTTACACCCCGTGTAACTCGTCCTGACAAGATGGCTCCCATCAAGGTTGTATCAGTCTGGGTCATTCATGAGGCACTTTAGGTTAGTCCCAAAACCAGGAAACTAGCTAACTACTAGCTGGTAGGCTATATAGCTAATCTGTTGCTGTTTCCCCCCCAATGTTTTCCTGTTGTGCAGGTCAGGTTGAGGACTACCTGCTGCTAGAAAGTCCCCCTGCCACGGGGTCTCACTCCATCGTGGGAGGCCAGCGGCAAACACCAAACAAGCCAGCAGGTAAAATCCACTTTGACATGTTTTTCTTGTTTGTTTTGCTTTGTAGTGTTCAGTCCCGCCCAGTTCCCTGTTGTTGGACGGCGTTCAGGGACCCAGACCATCCTTCTTAAACGCTGCGTGGTGAACTCCGTAAACACTTTCCGGTTGGACCACGCCCAGTGCAGCGGAATGCACCTGAGCTGACATTGACAGCAGAGATACAATAGAGCTGCTGCACCTCGGTACTAGCACGCACACGCTAGCGGTACTAGCACGCACACGCTAGCGGTACTAGCACGCACGCGCTAGCGGTACTAGCACGCACGCGCTAGCGGTACTAGCACGCACGCGCTAGCGGTACTAGCACGCACACGCTAGCGGTACTAGCACACACACGCTAGCAGCACTTCTACGAGTCTCTCTTTCTAGGACTGCATGGGATTGCATGTATTAGTCACTTATTTCAAACAGCGTAAATCATTTTTTGATTAACTGGTTGGTACAAAAAAAACTGAGGTAATGATAATACCACCACAGTTTATCATTGCAAATCTTCATCACTCTTTCAGTTTGAGCTGCAGTTTTTGACATATCCAATTATCTCAATATGTTTGGCCTCCTACTCGACACAGAGTTGACAACATTAGCATTATCCATTCACTGCACTTGACATTTGTGCAACATTTAATAACACAAGGATCGAACCGGTCCAGTACATTATTTCCAAACTGTCTAATGAATACAATAGACCTTATTCACCTAGTGGCCATAGCGGTAAGTTGGCTGGGGAAACCTTTTATGGAAACACATAGAACACAATGGAAATGCTTTCTAAAGAATGCACCTCGTTCTTCTCCCATGGCTGAGAGTGAGAGGCAGGATGTGGCCGTCTTTAGGATATCCACACATATGACCAGATTGTCAGTGTAGGAAAGCAGCCAGCTGCACACGTATGTCTCATCAAACCTGCCACTCAACTGTTCTGCCAAACCAACAGGCTATCGTCTCGATTTAAAGGGGCAGAATAGTTTTTTGTAATACATTGACAACTCAACTGCTGCTCAGAGATAGCCTGGCTCCGCCCACCTACGTACTTCCGCTCAAATTTCATTTCACTTTAGTACTAAGGTCTGGCGATGCTTTCTTTTCCCCAAAATCTGCGGTCCAATCAGCGAACAGGAGGCGCGGCCTGAGAACAGTGACGTAGAGGTCGTGCGCGAATTTCAGTTATTGAGCGTAAGTACGGAGGCGGGCGGAACCAGGCTAATGCTAATTGCTCACTGCATCTGCCGTTTGTATACTGCGCGCAACGTGGTTTCTGGCGCATGAAATACGTCACGACCAAACGTTAGCGATTGGTTAAGGCAGATCCAGAGTGGCACTGGGCAGAGCCAATAGGTTTTAAACTTCAACAGCACCCGCCTTCAAGTGAGACATCGTTTGTCTCTACAGCATTGCTAGACCTTTAGTATGAATGAAATGAGTACCAAGGTCTAGTTAGGACTAGGCTAGCTCAGAGACAGGCTGGCTAAGACAAAATGGAAGCCAAAGCCATCCCAGTTGGTTTATTTGCTTTGACTTTGTGTCGATAGTGTGCAGCTAGACGGTGTGGTACTGGACAATTATTTTCATGTTGGTTATGATGAAGGGCGGTCGCTGGGATAGAGTTAGGGGTTATGAGTTAGGGATGATGAGGTATGTTTAATACCAGGCGTGTCTGAACTGCAATTTGTCCCAGTAGAGGCTATGCAGATGTTTTGCTTCAAAGAAGTCCCGCCTCTCTGAGCAGAGAGTGACTGGATACAATCAATCAAGCTCTGTCTCTGGTGGAACCAGGTCATGGCAATTACTTGTTTCTGATTGGCTCAAATTAGTCCAAAGTGATGTCACTGCTTTTCCCTTGAACAAGTCCTCAATAGAGGTTCTGCGTCGCACAGCGCCCCCTCTGACTTCATCCTAGTATGACGTTAGCCATGCAAATATTGGATTGATTCAGTAGCGTTGCATTCGGTGGTTAGTCAAATGCATTAAAAAAACAACAACACTTCTGATATTCATGTTCTGCCCAGCATACTGTACAGCCGCC